GTTACAACTTTGACAACACTTTTTATCAAAAACAACAACAACAACTATAGTCAGCAAATCAAAGAAAGGACACAAACTAAGGAACACAAAGTAAGCCCTATAAAACATCTCCAACTCAATATAATGCTCTGAAGAAAATGTTAAGTCAAACCTAATACAAGGACTATCACAATGGTATCAGGTTTGAATTCCATCACTAAAAAAGTTTGGCCAACCAATTATTTTTCTGTATTGTCTCCAAAACTTAGAACATACAATTAAAAATATTTTTCTTTTCTTTTTTTCAGCTCAGAGAAGAAAATAATGTCTCCTGTGACGTTGGCCCTAGTGATGTGCTATTCTCAGCAGCACACAGGCAATATAAAGATTGTTCTTAACAATACTTCCAATGGCAAAATGAATAGCATATATCCACAACAGAAGCGTAATTAAATTTCAGCAGGAATTATTCCCATATGTACAACATGCAGAAAGGCAAATACAAACATTTATACTATGTTTTTAAGGCGGCTTAAATGTTTGTAAACACCACCAATTAGTGTACAGAAAAAGAAATTAGAAATTAAATGCTTATTTACCTTTTCCAAGAGGTTCTCTTCTCTTTTCCTTTTAGTACTCATAAATAAAAATAAGTAATACTATAGTAGAGACTTAAGTATTAAACTCAAAGATATACACTTTTCTTTGAAAATCATATTTCCAAAAGAAATAATCACACTATTAATAGCTTCCAATTTCTATTGAAACAGATACCACAGTACTTAACCATTATTTGTATTCTACAATGTATTATTTGTACTCAATAACAAAGCAATTAATTTAGGGAGGGGGATGTATTCCATTAATATAGATAGAAATGGTTAATCATAAATTTAATCATTCTTAATCAGAAAAAAGCCCAATACTTCCCATTAAAATGAAGTTTTCTTTAAAGAGATGATTATATAGTATTTTCACAGCTTCTTGAAATTCAGGTTTTAATATACAATGCCCTAGAAGTATGAATTCAAGTCACTTTCTTCAGGGAAACCACTTTAGTGAGCAAAAGTAGAGCAAAGTTCCTCTATTCCACTTCAGTTGAAATGAATCTGAGCAGCTTACAAAAGCAATACAGGTAATCCTTGTTTAGTGTCCATAACTGAGATTGACAATTCAGTTATTAAGTCAAATGGCCTTTGAATGAAACTGCAGTTTTGCTTATGATCTTTTTTCAGACCTGCAAAACTCATAAATGTAAGGATTGGTTGTAAATGTACACCATCATAACTGTGATGAGACACAAAATGAGGCAGTCACTAAATGAGGTCTACATGTAAACCACAAATAACCACACCAAAATGCCAATAAATATCCACAATCCAAATTTATAACATCAAAACATAGTTAGTGTACATCTCCTTGTCTGTGTTGTACAATGGTGTAGCAGTATATGTTGGTCCCAGATATCCTATTTATAGAGTCTAGAGGCTTTGATAAAAGTATCTCTGATTCAGCTATAATTGCTAAATTAATATGTAGTAAACTGTTCATTTAAAATATGAAAGCAGATTTATCTGGCTATGTTTTGCTTGTTAGCATGCAAAGGGAAAATGTGTGGTTATGATAGAACAGGAAGCTTGTTGGTGTATTGCTGATTCTTCCTGAACAAGCCAGACTAATTCAAGGGACATGCTGGAATTTCCACCAGTCTCCGCTGAGGATCTTCAAAGTGGATATGCTATGACAGAAATAGTTTAGGGCTTAGTGTTTTTTATGGCAGTGAAGAGTCTTCTCGGTTCTTTATATTGGAATATGAAATATCTCTTACTTCTCCAACATTTAACACAATGTATTGATTAATTAAAAGCATTCATTCTTTATTATTAGTCTAGAAAGCTAAGAACATAACTTGTTGTCTTCTGTGTCAAATAATTAATGGTCTGTTGGGTAGAGGAAATGATCATCGTAATTGGGAATATGGGAAAAATTAGTTCTATTAGCACTTTAATGTAAATATAATCTAATAAACCAAAATGCAGTTATCATTCAGTATTCCTATTTTTCTAAATGTTGATAATGAAACAGCATCAGCATTATAAACAAAAAGCTCATAAGCTGAAATCAAGAAATGAATATCATAAGATGTGCACAGTGGCTCTTATTTAGCATAAAGGTTCGTGGGTTCTTTTTTTGTTCGTTTGAAACCCAGCAGAATTTTCTTTAATGAGTATTTTTCTTTTCTTCAACTAATTTCCCATATAGACTTCCTTCCCCATTCCCCACCCCTCTCTCTCATATCCGGTGGTACATTGCTGAATCATTTCTACTGTCAGTCAGGTCTTGTAGGCCTCCTAAAGTTGTGATGGAGCCAACAAGGATGCCTATCAATCTAATAAATAGTAATACAAACCTTTTTATTTCAAGTGGCTGGGGAAATGATGAAATAGCGCCTTTGAAGTTGGCTTTATCTAAAATGTAAATATATTTTTATTAATGGATCAATCAATTTCTATGGCAGTTGCTGTCAGTCTGCAAGGTAGGCTGGGTCAGGAAACAATTAACCCAAGGGATACTGGAAGCTCTGTTTTATTGTCAAAGGACATCATAACAGAATCATGAAAGCCTGGCAGTTATCCTCTTATACCAAAGAGAATCAGATAGGCTTGCATGCAACATGAATTCTACCTCTTAGTACTTGCTTATGATAATATGATGGAAGTACAAAATAGCAGTACCTGTAGCATGACATCCCAAAGAACATTTCATCCTTTTGGAGTCACTGTAAACACTGGAGTCATTGTGAACAGTTCTGTTCATCCAAAGCCTAAAGAAAATACTGAAAAACACAAGGCCCAGGACTGAACCTTGTAGCACACCACATAGTGTCTCACTGAGGGATAATTTTATATAACCATTCTAGTAAAAGTCAGTTAAAAATATTAAGAGGCTTTTTCAAAGAATATTTCATTCTGAGTTTATTTTATGCAGAACTTCATCAACATACATAGTTTAATGATATTCAACACTGTATTATGCATCTTTGTATTGATAATTCAATGTTATAATCCAAAACATGACATTGGCTTCAAGGAGGCTATCAATTAAATTCTCACCTAAGGAAGAAAACTAGACAGGAAGTACAATTGAACATATAGATTCATTGCTTAAGTCAAAGACTTAGGTGACAGGGCACCATATATATTGAATTGGGATGGACATTCAAGTGTGAGGATGGCAAGATAATGGTAACCATTAACATATCTAAAGCAAGTCAACTAATACTCAAAAGAGCATTTCAGCTAAGTTATTAGAATAACAAAGAAGTTCATACCTGGTGGTGCAGGTATTGCAAGCTAAGTCTGCCCACAGCCTAGAATTTGATCCTGACAGGGCTCAAGATTGACTCAGCCTTCCATCCTTCTGAGGTAAGTAAAATGAGGACCCAGATTGTTGGGGGCAATATGCTGACTCTGTAAACTACTTAGAGAGGGCTGTAAAGCACTGTGAAGCGGTATATAAGTCTAAGTGCTCTTGCTATTATTTTCCAAGTGGAATAAATTGCTATTTCAAGATCAGCTAAAGATATGTCTCTTGAGACTAATGTCACAAGCTTAAGATACCTTGGAAGGATTTTTACCTTCCCATGCCAACATTTTTACAGTTTTTAGGAATGCCTGAAATGAAAGTTTCCTCCAAGAAGGGACAGATCTTATAATTTCTCTCCAGCAGCAGAATAAGCCGATATACCATTATAAAATAAGGCTGCCTGACAAGTTAACTGAACTAAGGCTGAAAAGTGAGCTAAAATAAGCATATATGATGTCCAAAAAGCTAAACATGCATCAGCTAAATAGAATACAATGAGTGGAAGGACCCTTTATAATAACAATCCTTACTTTAGCACTGCTCTGAAATAAAAGGCATTTTACACACATCATGTTATCCTTATAACAATCTTGTTATACTAATTCTGTTGATCCTGTTTTAAATTGCTGCAGGGCCAACCAGCCCTTCTATTAGGCACATAGAGATAGCTGAGTTGGACAAATGATTCTGGATGTCATGAAAAGGAAGCACATTGTTTATCATTTAATATAATATGTATATATTTTTCCTGCTAGACAAAGATACTTGTGGGAGTTTCTCATAAGTGCCAAAATTAATTATTCAGTGTAAGATATTATATACTGTGACTTGAGAAGAAGGTCACCATTTGTTATTTTACCTCAGGCAGTAAAATGTCTTGGCCTGGCCCTGAATTTCTTCAGAATAAATATTCTTACCCTTATTTCACATATTCTGTAAATGTTGAATATATTTGTGAGGCTACTGATTTCATCTAAATATTTTGATTTAACATAATTGAAG